AAAGAAAGAAAGAAAGAAAAAAGACCTTGTTGTTGAATGGAAAATCAACTATTATGTAAGTGTAAAATGTTCATTTTAAAAATAAAATGTTAATACTACAGCATCTTTTACTAAAATTCTGCTAAGTATATTTTCATACAGACTTCTTTAATTTGGATAGCATGCTATAAAGAACAAGAGCAGATTAAATATTTTTAACTCATTTGTCTCCTCCTAGTGGCAGAATTTTAAATAGTGAGCCACTTGTGATTCTCAGAAATGTCTGAATTCCCTCATGATTCCTTTTATTAACAACAATTAAGTTAATTGGCCCTCCCCACCAGATTACAGATTTTTCTCTGCTGGCTCCAAGGGGGCTGCAGAAACTCACGGGATTTGTCTTTTACACAGTTTTTAACATCTGACTTGTAAATTTTCTCATTTTGTTATCTACAACTTCTTAGCAACACAAATTCACTACTCAACATATTTTGAAATGATTTTCCTTCCCTTACAGGATTGCAGCAACACCCAGGGGTCTGTCCTTTACTCATGATTGCTTCCTCTCTTGAAATGCCCAAGAGCCACACAGGGTCCAGGGCGTGTCCAGCCACCAAATCTGCTTTTAGGGAGCTCTGTGTGCCCACAGACTCCTGGGTCATAGTGGATCAGGGTATGAACAGCTCCTTGACTCTTATACCAACCTGACAAAGTCTAAATGTTTACAAGACTTTATTGATTTGCCATGATTATTTATGGAGACACTAATGTCCTGTCTCCCTTCCGAGATGTTAGCTGGGCCCTTTGTAATCCTTTATCAGGGACGTTTAAAAGTGGAAAGCTGAAGTTACTTGGAACACCATGCCTTCTCCTGTTTTTTGTTTTGCTTTTCTTTCGTATTCAAAACAAAGCTTAGGGCCTTTGCTTTGATCTACACTCCCTCCCCTTTTACTGGGACTACAGATGTGCACAGCACACCTGGGTGGATTTTATAAAATTTTACTTTATGTTTTGATCTTCTTTTCCCCCTCAGTAATGGGGATCGAACTCAGGACTTTGAATATTTTTTTTTTTTGGTACCGGGGATTGAACTCGGGTCCTTGCGCTTGCGCAGCAGGCGGCAAAACCACTGAGGTAAATCCCTGGCCGGACTTTGCACTTTTGAGGCAGGTGCAGTGCCACTGAGCTAAATCCCAGCCCATTTTTTTGATCTTCTTGAGAATAGGGTCTGGCTGTGCAGTTTAGGCTGGCCTTTAACTCACTTTGAGCTCAGGCTGGCCTGGAACTTGCAGTGATCTTCCTGCCTCAGCCTCTCAAGTGCTGGGATTACAGGCCTGGCCTGTTTTCTAAATCATAACACTATTCAAATCTTGCCGTGCAGAAATGTGGCTGACCCAGTTGTATTAGGTGTGCCAGTCCACAGTTCTTTGTCTTCCTATCAGCTCTGTCTGGGATGGATGATCAGCCTCATTCCTTTGACCCTAACTAGTCTGAGGCAAGGATTGGCATCTCTACCAACTCAGTCTTCCTGCTTCCTCAGAAAAGACAAGAGTAGGGTGTAGAAGTCAAATAAGTTTCCTAATTTTCTAAATCTCAATTCCCTAATGTGAAAAATGGAAGTTAGTAGAAGGGCTGATATTTAGCTTGTGTGCACAGTTCCTCAGCTGGACATGGTCGTGCATGCCTGTAATCCCAGCACTTGGGAGGCTGAGGCAAGAGGATCACTGCAACTAGGAGGCCAGCCTGGGCTACACAGTAATTTCAGGGTCAGCCTGAAATACAGTGGGAGATTGTCTCAAAAACAATACAAAACCAGAAAAAAACCCAAAGAAATAAACAAAGCAAATCCCCTGAGCCCTTAGTTCACTCCAGGCCCCACCAAGATCCAGCTTTCTTAGAACTCTACCACAGCATGACCGAGTGGCTCTGCCCTATTAGTTAGCTGTTAAATATTTCTAACATCATTCTTGGGTTTTTGAGTCAGGGTCTTAGTATGTATAGCCCAGGCAAGCCTCAAACTTGGAATCCTCCTGGCTCAGCCTCCAGAATGCTATGGCCACAGGTGTGCGCCACCACACCCAGCTTCTAACATTGTTCTTCATAATAATTACCTTTTGAGATTGTCATGAGTCTTGAAGTAGGTTCATTCAGTTAAAGCAGGCCAATACCACTTGAACCTTACCGAATGTCCCCTTCTCAGATATGTGTCCATAGTTAAGCCATCTTTGGATCTGGAACCAAATCACACTTCTAATCTGAGGCTTCACAGGATATTAGCCTGATCTGACTGGATCTTCAAAGATTTTCTCTTCCTGTTTACTGTAAAACAAACTGCTTTTAGTCTTTCCCTCAATCTAGCAGCTTTATTAAGATCAAGGGCTGGGGATGCAGCTCAGCTGTAGAGTACATCCTTCGCATACCCAGGATCTGAGTTCAATCCCCAGCCACACACACACACACACGCACGCAAATGCAAGCACCAAGATATAAATTATGTACCATACAATTCACTATTTAAAAATACGCACAGGGCAACTTGTCATGGTGGTGCATGCCTGTAATCCCAGCATTTGGGAGGCTGAGGTGGGAGGATCACAAAGAGTTCAAGGGCAGCTTGAATTATATGGTGAGACCGTCTTAAAAAAAAAAACAAAAAAAAAACAGGGCCGGGGACTTAGCTCAGTGGTGCCACACCTGCCTTGAAAGTGCAAGGTCCTGAGGTCCTGAGTTCGATCCCCCATACTGAAAAATACACACACACACACGTGTATGTGTATATATATATGTGTATATGTATATATATATATACATATATATATGCATATATGTATATATATGGGCCAGGTGTGGTGGCACATGCCATAAACCCAGTGCTCTAGGAGCCTGAGCCAGGAGGATCACAAATTGGAGTCCAACCTGGGTGTGGTGGATTGATTAATGGTCAACTCATAATGCCCAGCTGAACTGAATCAGCATAGTCTGGGCATGGAGGATCCACCTGAAGACTGTTATCAATAGCCATAAAAAGAGAACTGGAGGGGAAGATCTTGGCCTGTTGATTTGCTAGGAGAATCTTGCTGCAGATAGTTTTCCTGATGCAAACTAGGCTGTTCTTGGAGGGGGAGCTCGGGACCTTGCTGTCACTGGGAATGGCTGTTTTCATCAGGGGAGCTCTGACCTTTACCGTGAGCATCACTTCCTGGCTCCAATGTGGATCCTTCAGCTTGGTGGCAGAAATCCTTTATCTCATCAGTGTAGGTTTTCTGGCTTCCACCACTGGCCTTTGGGCCTTCCAGGTGCAGATCCTGAATATGCACAAGCATGAGACATTGCATGGGGTCTAGGCCATTGGCTGGACTTGAGGACATTGCCTTGGACTCTAGGCCTTCAGCTGGACTTGTGTGGGAAACTGCTGGGATCTAGGCCCTCAGTTGAATCCTTTGGGCTTCTAGTGTGTGGTTAATCTCTTGCACTCGTTTGCATTTGACTCTCTGGGTAATTATAAAAGAACCTTATAAATTACGTGTCCTGTATTTAATGTATTCCCTTGGTGAATCCTTCTGATTACAACACTGGGCAGCTCAGTGACTTAGAAGACCCTGTCTCAAAATTTAAAAAGGGCTGGGGATGTAGCTCAGTGTGAATGCCCTGGGTTCAATTCCCAGTACCACAAAACCAATCAAACAAAACAGGGTTGGAGATGTAGCTCAGGGTTAGAGAGCTTGCCTACAGGACCTGGATTCAATCCCCAGCACTGTAAAAGTAAGTTATTTAGGGGCTGGGGATTTAGCTCAGTGGTCCCGCCACCTGCCTCGAAAGCTCAAGGACCCGAGTTTGATCCCCGGTTCCAAAACAAACTAACTACTGAACTGTATATTTTATTTAATTTTTGTTTCTATATATTTTTTAGTTTTTTGTTTGTTTTGAGGCAGGGTCTCACTACGTAGTTCAGGCTGGCCTTGAACTGCAGGCGATCCTCTGAGTGCTGGGATTATAAGCATGTGCCAACAAATTCTGTATACCCATATTTCTGTAAATATATAGAATATTTCTAAAAGAATACACAAGAAAGTAGTAAAAATATATAAAAATGGCTGCCTTGGGGGACAAGGATAGTAGGCTTTCTTTTCATTCTATATCTCCCCAACTTTTTAAATGTTGGGCACTGAACCCAAGGCCTCACACATGGTAAACATGTACTCTACTACTGGGCTCCAATCTCTATATCCTTTGTAAATCACTAAATTCATAAAATCCAAACACTAATAATCATGTCTAGAAGTATGAGGCTTGTCTATTTGAATGGAATATCCTGAATTTTCATACTGACCTTGTAAGACACACATTTTCATTCCTGAAGACTGTTCCCTTAGCTTTGTCTTTTTTTAAAGAAATTTATCCTTAAACATCCAACAGGGTCCAAGACACCACTTCAGTCTAGTTGTAGGTGGCTAAAGATATTGTGGCAGGAAATCCAAATGTTTAAACAAGAGTTACCATCAAGAGTCACCATCACCTCTGCGCAAGAACAGCTTTTTTCTTTTCTCAGTGCTGAGGATCAAACCGAACTTGCTGAACCACAGACCCAGAGGGAACAGCTTGCTTTTTTGCAGCACCCCCTGCTTTTGGTGGTGGGGTCTCCACAAAGAGATACATCCCCTACCTTGTTTAAATTTTGAGATAGTCTGACTAAATCCCTAAATTGCTCGGGCTGGGATTGTGTGCCATCCCACCTGGCTAATTTGTTTTGTTGAGACTGAGACTCACTATGTGATCCTGGGTGACCCTGACCTTGCTCTGTAGCTCAGGCTGGTTTTGTAATCCCTATCCTTTTACTCCAGCTGCCTGCTCCCAATGCTGGGATTATAGGCATGCCCCACCATGCCCAGCCTGAGCACATTTATGCTCAAAAAGTTTTGTGTATGGAGAAGTCTAGAAGGATACAAACCAAAAAAATTTTTTAAAGCATAATGCTATTTTAAAAATAAAATGTACTAGTAAGATTCACTGCACATAAAACAGTATATGCCAAACACTAGGCTAATTCCATTTTATATATATTTTCTCATTTGATCCTTACAATAACCTTTGCCTAAGGCTTGCTGCTAATAATTCGACAGATGGGCCTGGTAGCAGACTTCAAAAGTCATGATCTTAACCACCTGATCACTCTTTCTCAGGTATAAAGACCACTTTTTGATCAGAAAAATCTGTGAAATGCTTTAAGAAAATTCTGCTCAAAAGTTCTCTTTATATTCTATAACCATTTGTTTTTGAGATAGGGTCTGGTTATGCAGTTCAGACCGGCCTTCTGCTATGTAGCCCAGGCTGGCCTGGAACTCACCGACATCCTTCCACCTCGGCCTCCCAAGTGCTGAGTTTACAGTATGTCCTACCACACCCGGCTCTCCCATAACCATTAGTACCTCACAGCTCTTGATGGGTCTATCTGTATACTCTTGTACATCCTATATAGTTCTTGTAGGCCGCAGACCAATCCCACTTTATTTTTCATAGTTCTTAGGGCCAGTGTTTTAGGCAACAGGTTCTCTTATCATGACGTGTTAAACAGGTGGGCCTCTGAGTTGAGGATTAGCACTCTTGCAATATTAAGAATTTCTTTTCATGGGCCAGGAATTTAGCTCAGTGGTTCCGGCACCTGCCTCGCAAGCACAAGGACCTGAGTTCGATCCCCGGTACAAAAAAAAAAAAAAGAATTTCTTTTCAAGAAACGTATAGGTGTGGCTGGGCGTGGCTCAGGGCTGTTAATCCGTTTATGAGGCTGGGAAGTGAGGCAAGAGGATCTCGAGTTAATCCCAGCCTGGGCAATTCAGGGAGACTGTCTCAAAATAAAAATGCCCGAGACGTGACTCCGTGGTAGAGCTTTTGCCTAGCACACGTGAGGCCCTGAGTTCGATTTCCACAACGCAAAAACAGACACAAATGTACACGGGAGTGAACCAAGGACTCTGTCCATTTCCTCCATTCCATCTTCCCTTGCGCCTTCTTTCTCACCTCGGCCTCGCTAGCTTGCGAGTCCACTGTTCCTAGCGAGCCAGCAGGGCCAGACGAAACTTGAGCCCTGGCTCCAGGTCTCAGGAGCTCGGGAAGCAGGAGTACCCACGTGGTTTCCGGCACTCCCCGCGCCAGCAACCAGTTTCCGGCCGGTGGTCGCCATCTTGTTTTCTGGCAGGGGCGGGCGGCTGGAGCCCGAGGAGCTGCTGCCCGTACTGAAGATGGCGGCCCTGGGTGGGCGTGACTAGTGACTGTCTACCGAGAGCGTGCGGGCCCATGTCGGCGACAGAAGAACCTAGGCAGGAGGATCCAGCGAAGGAGGAGAAGGAGGAAGAAGAGGAGGAGGCAGTAAGCATTAAATCGGAAGCGCCCAAGACGGTGGCGGGGATGGTTTTGGGGGCTGGGGGTGGGTCCGGGCTGCCTCCCGCTGGAGGGAGAGGCCCCGGGCCCGCGGATCTTAGAGCCTCTGGTCTGTCCTGTTGGCCCCGCGGTTGTAACAATGGAGAAGGACGGGAAGCACCTTAGGTAAGATCGCTTGCTTCTTGTTGAAAACACAGGACCCAGTTTTTTACAAAGGCGGGGTAGCTGCGATGGGATTTGGGTTTTTTCTTGTTATCGAATTTTCCTGCTTACTTTTATGCTAACATGTTAACCTTTTTCTTCCACCAGGAGCAGTTTGTTCTGGTGGAATTGTCGGGAATTATTGATTCAGACTTTCTCTCAAAATGTGAAAATAAATGCAAGATTTTGGTGAGTCCTGTAGAATTGGATTGTAGATTTTCTTGACAGTTAAGGAATGGTGAAATATCCGTCGGCAGACCCATACATTTAGCCCACCTTCAAAGTGGTGAGCATTGAGCATCGACAGAGGTACAGGGTTACTACTGGAATAGAGAGAGGTGTGTCATTCTGCTCCAGTGTCTAGTATGGTTTGGGGGGCAATATTTTGTCATGGAATAATGAGATATATTGAAAAAGTACTTTGTTTTAGAAAGTGAGATGGGAAAAAGAAAGCGAAGGGAGGATAGACTTTTATAGAGGTTAAACTATGAAGGAGAAAAAAGGGAAGACTACTAAGAAGAGACTTAAAAGACATTCTTTCCTTGTGGTGCTGGCACTCTACCACTTAGCTACATCCCCAGCCTGACCTTATTTTTAAATTTTTTAGCCAGGTTCTGGCTGAGTTGCCCAGGGTGGGCTCAAACTTGCAGTTGTCCTGTCTCAGCCTCCCAGAGTGCTAGGATTGATTATGTGTACATCACCTTGCCCGGCATTTTTTTGTTTTTGTTTTTTTTTTAAAGACAAAGTCCTCCTGTATAGCCCAAGCTGGCTTCAGATGTGCAAGCCTCCTCCCTCTGCTTCCCAGGTGCCAGGATTACAATCATTACAGGCATGCCCCACCGTGCCAGGCTTGTTTATTGCCTCTTTTTTTGGATGATAATGGAGAATGGACCCAGGGTCTTTACATCCTCAGCACAGCTCTAACACCGAGGGACACCTAGAACCTTTATCATTTTACCTTAATGCCCTTGAGCTCTGCTCACAAGAAAACTTCCTCTTTTCTTATTTTAAACTTGAAGAGAATGTTGATTGAAACTGATCTTATTGAGCCTGGTGTGGTGGTGCAGGCCTGTAATCCAAGCACTCTGGAGGCTGAGGCAGAAGGATCACCATGGAGGCCAGCCTGAACTACAAAGTGAGAACCTGTCTCGAAAAAGAAAAAAAAAAAAAAGAAAGAAAGAAAGAAAGAAATTGACCTTGTTCCATGTGCCTAAAGTAAGTGGTCTTTGGGTTGTAGCTGCTGGGACAAAGCAGAGGTTATTTTGTACTTGCTAGAGCAAGATCCTTTAGACTAACCATGCGAGGTGGCACATACCTGTAATCCCAGCACTTGAGAGGCTGAGGCAGTAGGATGGTAAATTGGAGGCCATTTTGGCCTACATAGCGAAACACTGTCTTAAACCCCCTCTCCTCCCCAAAACAGATGCTGTAGACTAGGTTTCCCAGTGTTGGAGATGGTAGTCATATGACATGCTGAAGGATTTTTCTCATGGCTTTATGCTCCTTTATTCTGTTGTAGGGGATCGACACTGAGAGGCCCATTCTGCAGTTGGATAGCTATGTGTTTGCCGGGGAGTATGAAGGTAGGACGATTGTCAGCTAGATGTTGCCTTTGATATGCCTTTCAGAGAAGGTAGCTCTATTATTTCTCAACAATTTGCCTTCAAATTTTTTTGCAGATACTCTTGGAACCTGTGTTATATTTGAAGAAAGTGTTGAACATGGTAAGAAACTGTTACGCTAGCCCACCATTTTTTTTTTTTGAGGCAGGGTTTCACTATGTATTGTTTTTCTTTTCTTTTTTTTTGGTACCAGGGATCGAACTTAGGTCCTTCTGCATGCGAGGCAGGCACCGGAAGAGGGTTTCACCATGTAGTTCAGGCTGGCCTTGAACTCACTATGTAGGCTAGGCTGCCCTTGAACTTGTGGGAATACTCCTGCCTCAGCTTCACTATATAAAAAGAATTAAGATCTGGGGCTGGGGATTTAGCTCATGCTGCGCCTGCCTCGTAAGTGCAAGGTCCTGAGTTCAATCCCCAGTACCAGAAAAAAGAAAAAAAAGAATTAAGATGTGTTATATGAATGTACCAACTCCCCACCATGAATGTAATCATTGTGTGCTATAAACATATACTAAGAAAAATTTAAAAAAAAGAAATAAGCCCAAAAATCTTATGCCCTTCCCTGTCTTCGGAGGTAATTACTCTCTTGAATTTGATGTTTATCTTTCCTATACCTAATTGTATTTATTTTGGTGTTTTTGAGACAGGGTCTTGTTATGAGGTTTAGGCTGGCCTTGAACTCATGACAGTCCTCCTGCCTCACCCTCCTGAGTGCTGGGATTACAGGCGTGCCCCACCACTCCCAGATCTTATACCTAATTTTATATTACATATGTATGTATCTACACACAATAACTAGTACTGTTATGTATATTTTCTTTTTTGGTACTGGGATCGAACTTGGGTCCTTGTGCTTGCGAGGCAGGCAGTGGAACCACTGAGCTAAATCCCCAGCCCTGTTATGTATATTTTCAAACTTGAGGCTGTGGGATAAGTCAGTTTAGAGCAGCTTTTGTCTAACATGAACAAGGTCCTGGGTTCAACCTCAGTGCAACAAAACAACAAAAAACAAAACTTGATACAAATCATTCTATCTTTTTTCACTCAGATACATTTTCAATTTATACATGTAGATATATATATATATATATATAGAGAGAGAGAGAGAGAGAGAGAGAGAGATAGTATCTTGTCCCTATTGCTTCCTGTTCCATGTTGTGACTATGCACAATTTATCCTTCACATCCTGCTACTGTGAATGTAAACTGATAACTACACTTTCACAAGAAGCATGGTGTTATCTCATGTGAAATTCACTAGTAATTATTAATAACTACTATTGATGTGTTGTCTTCTATATTGTTCTAAGTGCTATATGTGTTAACCTCGAATCCTCCCCACAACCTGATAAGCTAGATACTGGTATGATTTTCATTTTATAGTTGAGGAAACTGAAACTCAGATGGGTAAGTAACATGCCTGAGCTCATGCAGGAAGTAAGTGGCAGAGCCAGGTCTTACGCTCAGGCTGCCTGGCCTTGTGTGTGTGCTGGGGATTGAACCAAGGGCTCACACCTGCTAAGCACACTCTCTTACAGCTCACATCTTTAGTTATGCTTATTACCTCAATGAAAGATGCTGTGTAGGGAGATGGATCTTTTGCAAATGGGAAAAGAAGGACAGAGGGGCAAGGGAGGGGAGGAGAAGGGGAAGTGAAAAGAATTAGAGATATGCTAAATACTTGTACCTACCCTGTAAGACAAGAAAAAAATGTAAACATTATGTACCACAAACATGTACTGATGAAAGCTTTTTTAAAAGATGCTGTATACATATTCTTTTATGTTTTCTTGTGTATATATGTAAAAATGACTATAATGTTTACATTTAGAAATACATTGATGAGGGGTTTGGGGTGTAGTTCAGTGGTAAAGATCATGCTTAGCATGTGTGAGGCCCTGGGTTCAATCCCCAGCCCCGAAAGAAATAGATTGATGTATGTGTTGTCTTTATTTTCGGTTAAACCCTGTGAAATTACCAATTTGGCTGCATATCAATTCATACATGCCATGTTGCTGTCCATTTACACTCACAGAGTAGTGGGTAGAAGTGCTCAGGGCCTCATCCTCCCTCCTGTCTAGGCTGTTTCCTAATGCTACAGTTCCTGGAATTTTTCCCAGCCTTCTTTTATGATTGGGGATGTTCCTACTCTAGCCTCTCTCAGGTTTTGAGCTCAAAGTCTTATTTTGGTCCTTTTTTGTTTCAGTATTGGAGAATGAGCCTGTGGCATGTGGCACTGTGCTTGGCTTGGTCTTTCATTCTGAGTGGTAGAATTATGCACAACACCCTGAAGGCCACATTTCTGACTCCACTTTCACACAGGCTTGGGCCTGTCAGGCCTATCCATTGACTCTCACTTATAGCTTTGTTTCTGTCAAGTTTGTTGTTTTTGTGTCCAGTTGTGCCTTAAAGTGGTGTATGTTGTCTGTCATTTCTCTGTGATTAGAACAGGAAGGATGACTTACACTTTGAACTTACTATACTAACTTGATAAGTAGTTTAGCCAAACTCCTTGAACTGGAATTATTGGAATTCATATTATTATTTTATTTGATGGGATCAAGCAGTATAATAATTGAGTTTGTTTTATGTTTTAGTGGATCCAGAAGGCAATAATAAAACAGTGCTGAAATATAAATGCCACACAATGAAGAAACTCAGCATGACCAGAACTCTCTTGACAGAAAAGAAGGAAGGAGAAGAAAGCATAGGTTAGTTCACTTAACTCTCAACACGGGTGATACAGTTTTGGTCTTGACAGTGACACATAGCCTTCAGGGCACTCCTTATGGTTTGTAGTTAATAACTATGT